GTACGTACGTACGTACGTACGTACGTAACGTAACGTAACGTAACGTAAGTAACGTAAGTAAGTAAGTAAGTAAGTAAGTAAGTAGTAGAGAGAGAGAGAGAGAGAGAGAGAGAGAGAGAGTGTGTTTAGGGGGCACCTACATCAAGGATTTGCAAGTTCTCGTTCTCTTGTTTCACCAGAAGCTTTTCATTAAACTGCTCAATGAAGTCTACTTTCTTATTACGGTGAAGCAAGTGGTGGAAGGATTTCAAGACAGTCCCATCCTCGATGGAAATTATCTTTAATGGTACGTGAGAAGCAGATCGGTTATATATTAACAGCATGATGCCAGGGCTGTTTGCAGCATCAAACCATCAATCAATTATATAAAAAGTCAAATGAAACCATCTTAATGTCCACTCATGTACGAGTGCATGTGCTTGTAATTGTGTGTATGTGTGAGAGAGAGAGAGAGAGAGATACTCATATGTGTGTGCATGTGCTTGTGTGCACAAGAGAAAAGGGTGGAGTGTTTTGAGGGAGGGGTGGGGGGGGGGTGATGTAGATGATAACCTGATTTTAATCTCCTGAACATTTCTATCGGATATAGAGTATAGAAAAGAATAGTTCTTAAGATCAAAAACCTTGTAAATCCTGCAAGTGAAGAGAATGTAGAAAAGGGAGTGTTAGATTGATGCCAAAAACTAAATGTCAGACTTGTCAAAACAAGATTGCATGATTCTTAGAGAGAGAGAGAGAGAGGAAATTTTGATTGCAAGTATAACATGGAAAGGATTTTAACTACCCATCCTGAGCTGAATATGTTAATACTTTTCCATTTACATCATCGAATTCCACAAAACCAGGCCACTTTAATGATTCTGTCTCAAACAAAGCAAACCCAGCATCCAACTGATTCCTCCTAATATATCTGCGGAGTCCCAGACAAAAATGGATATCAGTAAAGGAGATTCAAGGAATGAAAATCTCAAAGATCAAATGGATGTAGTATCTCACTCTATGGGTGTGGTCCTGCATTTTAGGGAACTAAAACAATCTGAAGCATAGACTGATACTGTAATAAGTGACTCATTGTTCTTGTTATAGAAAAGGCTTCTGATGACTTCATCCGGGCTTATATTCAAGAAGCATATCCTTTCATTAGTAGCTGCATTGAGAAAAAGTGGAGATGAGACAATCCAGTTCATTATGCGTAAAGCTGCAGTAGTCTTCTAATCTAGGGAAACAGTACCATGCACACCAGGAGTGTATGGTATACCATATAAACCATGGGGACATCCACAGCCCGTTCCAAATGATGGGCAGCATTGTCTGGCTGTGAATGCCCATCATCACAATCCAGAATTAATCCCTACCACCTGTTCTAGGAAAAGAGAGTCAATGTCCCCAAGGTGTACCATATACCATAAATTGGTCAATTTTTTTCTTTTTTGAAACTCATAAATCGGTCATTAATCTCATAAGATATGAGAAATCACGAGGGGAAAGTCCTTACTCCGACTAAATGCAGCACATAGACCAGATTGGGCCAGGGCAAATATCACATCCTTAGCTGCAACAATCTCTATGATCTTCGATCTTTTCTTGAGAAACTGTAATATCAGAAAGAACTGAACTTTTGGATCATGTGTGTCAAACTCTTCCTGCAATTCCAGAGACAAGAAAGATTAATAACTTGCAGGTTTTATAACAATTTACTAATTCAACAGAGCAAACTCAAGCTCAAAAGACAATGCATGCAACACGAGACCCAAATACACATTGGATACTGAAATTTGTCATCAAGTTATGAGCCCAGTGTCCTGTTTAGAAACAAAGAGTATGCCATATGCCACTCATTTATTGTCATCAGAGTGACATCCGTAGTCTGTTCCCAATGACAGGTGGCAGAGATTGACCGCAGTTCTTAGTGACATTCACTTGAGTAAGGTTAATCATAACTACCTATTGAGAATAGCCTTGGAGATCCTTGTAGTGATTCATATACCATACACCACCTGTCAGTGGCATACTTTCATATTTGGAAATGCCCCCCCCTTTCACTATAGCATCTATGATTGTCAACTTCCATAAAATAAGTTATAAAAGAAAAGGATTTCTAAAGCGCAGGTCTCAGAATGTTGTTCAATGATTAAAAAGGAAAAGATAGTTCACATTTTTGTTAGGTAGAATGACCATCTTAATGCGTAAGACAGTTTCGATACTTAAAATTCCAAGTTTCCAGATGAAAATGACAACTGTATGAATGCATTCCCATGGTTATATAAGTACCATACGCCTATAAGGTCAGCAGCAAGGATAATGATAAAGGATAACAGTTACACTGGTAAAAAAGGGAGCTCCATGGATGCATAAATTAGCAAATTATCACAGCTTGCAAGTCATAATCTAGCCCCACCTGAGGACCAAATGAAGACATGGAATAGACATTCATCAAAAGGTTGGATCTCCACTTAAGTCAACCAAAAGAGGAAACAAACCAAATAGTTTCTGCAAAGGGCCAATTATACCCTGACATGTCCATTCTGGGATGTTCACCTTGACATGGGCCAACAAGTGGTCCATATGCGTTGCATGTAACGCGTTTTAGAAAAGGAGTGCTCACAGACCTAATAGACATGCTGACTTTTGAAATATGGATACTTCTTTTCCTCTTAGAAGATATAAATACAGGGTAGACCGTTTCAAAATTAAACAATTTATAGTATTTCTGGATCAACTTAAAATGGTAAATAAACCTGATATGTTTTGGGGGGACAAACTTCAAGAATCAAACCCTTGACCTCCTGGTTACAAAACAGTCGTCTCTGGCACTAGGCAAAAGCCCAAGACCGAAACATAAATAGGAAGAAATAATTAACTAAAGAGGAGTACAGGGGAAACATAGTCACAATCATCAGAAAGGAATTCTGATAGCATGCTATCAGGTGGGTCCTTTTTATCAGGAAATTTTCAGAAGTTTACTGAGTCCAATACATAAACTTTATACATTACTTCTTTAGTGAAATAACATTTTTTATCCAATATAGGTAAATTACCAAAATTATCTTAAAATGAACATCATTTAGACCACTGACTGGGCTCTGGGCTCAGGTCTCAGCCAGGTTCCAAGCCGAGTCATATAAACTCTGCTTCATTGAGTCTAATTACAACTCCGTGACTGTATAGAAAGATGGGTATAAAATTGACCAAGTCAGGCAAGTCTCGAGATAAACCATGAGACTGTGAAGTTCCCAGTCGACAAGGATGAGTCCCATGTTTAAACACCAAAATTTAAAAAACTGATCAATATATCAAAAAGGATTCATTTTTTATTGGTGTCAGTCTTTGTTACAACGACATATGTCTCGGGCACGTTTCAGCATGGCTGAAACGCACAAATGCCTGCCATGCAGCTTGATACATCAGACACCATCAGACACGGCTTAAATGTATGAGGCTCTTTCTTAAAGAAAATCATGTTACACAATTGGCATGTGTACCACCACCCATGTGTCAGACATCCAAATCTCGGCGTGCCTGCAATAGACATGCCTTTTTATAACTCAAGACACATGTGTCTATCACTAAGACATGCATGTCGATAACTCTGGACACATATTCATCACAAAGACATGCATGTCGATAACTCTGGACACATATTCGTCACAAAGACATGCCATGTCCACAATTCCGGATACACATCTATGAACACATGAGTCTTTTTTTTTAAGTTAATTTTATTATTACAGTTACAGAGTAATTTTTTTACATAAATATAATATCGATAGATAGGCATTTGCATCAACACGTTGGGTCTGACACACTGCACTAAGGAGAGCTGCATCAGATTGTGTCTGAGGCACATGCAGACATGCATGTCTATGTCCTTGAACACGGGTACTGATGAGTTTATTAAAAAAAAAAAAATGAGATTCTGAGTTTAACTAGGGGGGGGGTTGTGGGCTCAAGGAGATGCCAAGGCAGCATCATACAGGATCGTAAAATTCATACTTCCTATGTCTTGAATCTCGTTAAAGATCGTCGTCAAGCCCCAAGGAGGATCAGCCTCCCCCTTGGCCCCCATAAATAACATTCAAGCCTATCAGCTTCCATGACAATGAGCCTCCTAAGATTTGACAACCAACCCAGAACCCCATAATTGGGGCTCTCAAGTATCTAAAGAGGAGTCACAATGCTCAAGGGACACCAAAAGGAAAACTGGCGTCATCCAATCAACACCCATTAACAGTCCTACCATCCCTCTACCCCCATATTGCCCTTTGAGTTACCGTTACGTATGAAACAATAATAGGTCAAAGGCATCATATATCAAAACAGCATCTGCTGTGATTACATTCTTTATCTAGGATTTCTTTATCCACTCACAGCACACACCTGCTAACCTAAATTTCTTTTCAAATTATTCTCAAAAATTATTTTCCAATCATGGGGGCACCCCAAATGCTATTTGATGACATGATGAATCTTGATTTCCATGAACATTTATTTGCTTAAGCAACTTAGCCACCAACCAATAATCTTAAGTAATCCATATCCATGAGCTAAACCGTCAGTGTTGCAGATGCCAGGAGACCAATGAAGAACTCTTTCTTTTCCTTAACTCTATAACTCTGTCACAGGACCTGGCTTGCTCAATGTAACAGATGTTTAAATTTCTAGTGCTGGTATAATTCCATTATCAAACGATTAACCATCCCCTCCCCCCCCTTCGTTCTTCTTCTCTTGTGTGCAGGATGATTCATGTAAACGTGCATACATGAGGATGCATGCATGTATAGATTTAGCTTTGTCATGGCCAAGTGCATGCATGTATACAATACAGGCACAAATGTGATGGTGAGCATTCATGCATACATCCATCCAAATATCCACATACAAAGTTATGTGAACATACACACATGACCAGAAGCGCGTAAACTTACACTTATATAAGTCGGTACAACTCATCTTCTAACATTTCAAGTAAAAGGAATACATCAGTATGAGTGAAGGGCGCAGGTAGGTAAATTCACATGACATGAATCAAACAGCATCAGATTCTTTAGATGTCAGAGCATATAGTAACTGACATGAAAGGAGTAGTTATCATCTCAAAGATTATACACGCACTTGTAAGCATGCTAAGTAAAGAAACATTATAGAGGATATTTATCCAAAAACCTGTAAGATATAATAGCAAGAGTCATTAAATATGGAGGGTTTTTTCTTCAAAAATTGATGAATTTGTCTTCCTAGCCTACATGCAAATCAACAAATGAAATAAGAGTCCAATAAAAGTGCATGTAATCACTTCCAAAGCAATTAAAATCTTTCAAATAAAGTAAATGACCACATGAACTAACTGCAAATTAATAGTGTAAAAAGGCACTTCTGTAGTCTACAATAAGTGAAATAAGTCAACAGACTAAGTGATAGACAAATATTCAACAAGGTCGCATATATTATTCAAGTAAATCAAGAGAACCTCCATCTTATTATTATAAAAAAACCAACTCCAAAATTCTGAAGTCAAAATAGTAGAAGTTCATCCAAGCATGCTGCCACAACTTTTTTCCTGATTGATACAAGCTTTGAAATTTTCTGATCCCTACGAAATCCTTTAGACATTCATGGACGTAGATTCCCTTGCCAAAGAAGGCGTATCAAGATCCAATCTTCTTATTACCAGACCACTCTCAGTGCCACCATCTTGAAGATAAAATTTTGTTCCACACTTTTTACACGAAAATCGACACATACACCAGATATTTTGTTTCTTGACATTTACACATGGAAAATTGCATCTTTCTCATCATTAATACAAAGAATTATTCATTAAAAAAAAAGGATGTCCAGAAGAAAACAAGAAAAAATGCAGAACCAACAAAAAAGAGGATGGAAACCCAAAAGGTGCCTCAACAAAGTCCTTTTCATCAGCAAGAAGATCCCAATAACTTTAAAGTTTCACATGATAGTATTAGACAATTTTCTTTTAAAATTACATCTCATAGTCAACACCTCACAAGAACTCAGTGAGCTTATCGCCCTGACCATCCATAATCTAATGCAATACAATGATGTCCAGAAAACACATAAATAATAGTCAAATATCAAAAGAGAAAATGTCATCCTTTCAACATAAACCGGTCGAACTTCCTCATGCCATCAAACACCGATGCCTTTTTCCTTTTCCATTTATATATATTTTTATACCATCAAAGATTCTGCATGTGAAACTACTAAAACAAATGCCTTATATAATCATAGAAGGAAGCAGATAGAAAAGCAACACTATACTCATGCAAATTAATAACAGCAATGAAACACATGCATTCTATCAGAACCATATTAATCAAAACTCAACATGAAACAGAAGAAGAGCCCTAGTCAAACAACACAAAACAGGAAAGCATATAACAATTTAAAAATCAAATGGACCACCAATAACCACCAATCAGAGACTACAAGGAAAAGAAGATTCCTGATGAAAAACTGTCGACCCAAATCCTAATTTCAAACCAAACAGAGGACATGAAATGCTCTGAAATGAACAAAGTAAACTCAACAACTTACAGTAAGTCTTTATCATTGATGGAAATAAAAAACTAACTTAATGTAGTACAACTCTAACCAAAATGATGCCGAATACAAAAACAAGTAATGCATTTGATGGGACAATAAACTGCACAAGGTCCCATATTCATGAAATGGAGGCCTACTTATGGAACCACATAATGCTTCTATTAACAAGTTCAATTACAAATTAGAAAACCCTATCCAAGAAGAATAAACCCTAACACTAAATATAAATACCAAGGGGGACAACATTAATGTTTCCTTCAACCCACTCAATCAGAAGTTTAAAAAACGCCAAAAAATTATCCAATCCAACAGAAATCAAAGCGGAAAGCCACCAATACTTTCATTAAAAAATTGACCAGAAATCATAAAATCCCTACAAACAAGATTAAACCCTAATCCCTATGAGGTTGTACAATCAAGAATAATAATTCAAAATCCATCGCCTTCAAAGTAATTTCATTACATGCAGAAAAAGCTAACAAAACTTCAAATTTTAAAGCAAGTGTTCAAATGAAAAAAATAAAAAAGAAATTCCAACAAGCAATATCAAATCCTAAACCCAATCAAACTTTCTCATAAAAAAAAAACCAACAATGATCCCAAACCCATAGAGAACATGCACTATATGCACAGAAATACTAAGAAAACACTCAAATCAAAGTGATCATTCAATGTAAAAGAAAACTCAGTGGAGAGAGAAAACCTGGAGTTGGAAGTTCCTAAACTTCTCTTGAACATTCGAAGCACTGGACCTAATACCCCTGAATCCTCCAATTTCTCGACGCTGAAGCTTCCTCACAGAGTTGAGAAAACTGCTAGGGCGCTGTTGCCTCTCTGCCGTTACCCTAAGGCGAGGCCTTGCAGGAATCTTCTTCTTCTCCATAATTGCCCAAAAACAAGGGCACCTAAAAAGCTAGAAACTCACTAACACAGGAACCAGAAACCAATGACAATTACGCCAGTGGAAAGTAAAAACCCTACGAAGAACAGGATAATTAGGGCAGGTGAAAACTATTGAAAATTAGGGCCCACGAGAAGAGGAACGGATTGCTGGTTCTCCCTTCGCCATTAAAGTGGTCTAATGGAGAGAGCGGAAGAGAGAGCAGCGGGAGGAGGGAAATCAAGAACACGAACGAAAGAGACAAACGCGCGATTAAATAGTTCAGTCCCAGGTGTAAGAATTTTCGCTTATGGGGAGAATAAATTGGGTTGGCAAATGTTTTCGTAGGGCTGCAGCCCTATCAAAACAAGTAAAGCCTCGCATCCAAACTCACATAAAATTACACATGTAGTGTTCAAAAGACCTTCCAATCGATAATATCAACCTTAATCATTATAAATATATATATATTTCAAGCTCTAAAAGTAGTATATATATTGTAAGACTACCGTTTATTTTTGGGCGCAGTTTGGATACGGATGCATCCCTTGATGTAGAGGTAAGGTGTATCTTCAAATTTTATCATGGTAAATAATTTTGATGTAAAATGTTTTTAGGATTATCTCAAAATCTATTTTTATATCTAGTTATAAAATTTTAAATTTGAAAAATGGTTAAAATCAAGTAGATCTATAAATATATGAAAATTTTGAAAATGGACGGTGTAGATAACATGTTGTAAAATACACTATTTTTTAGACTCTTTTTGTTTTTCATAGTCATACATCTCGATGTCGAGATGATCAATCAAAGGGTTTTTCAACATTAAAACTACTTTTTCCGATGGATTTTTGTTCTACTTTATAAGGTAGCATCCATATATAAACTTTTTCCTTTATTTCGTCTTAAAAATAAGTGTTCATAAATACATAAGATCTGCACCGTTTTTAGAGCTTCAAATTTTTGAAATTAATTTTAGTATTATCATGAAGATTTCCAATGTCCAAAGTGCTTTTCCGATAAAGACTCAAGGTGGGGATTTACTTTATTTTATAAAGCACATGCCTTATAAAAACTGCATCCAAAGATATCATACTCCTTTAGGAGTATATTGTCTATTTATTCCCTTAGATAAAATCCTACCTTAGATTAATTTTAGTTTCCTAAATTCTTGAGATATAATCTTTTCAACTCATAGATTAACCTCAATAAGGAAATTTTTCTAATTGTGCTATCTACCCACTTGAAAAAAAAACAAAGTATCTCAAAAATTTTTCCTAATTATGATGTTATCTACCCACTTGGAAAAAAAGAAAAAGTATCTCAGGATTGAATCGAGACTGTCCAATTTTTACAGGATTAGATCTAAGTGTTAAAAAACTCCAATTTTATTTTATTTTTTAATAATAATCATTTAGTGATTCTTAGGTGAATTCCACAATTTAAAATTGAAAAACAAATCTCTCAAGTGGGTCTTCTAGCGAGGGAGTAAATATAGACTATGCTCCCAAGGGAGCATAATATAAGGTGCCCATAAGTGATCCCACTAATGTAAGTGGCTTGGCCATTTATTTAATTGAGATTATCAAGCATGCATCCACATGACCATGCAGTAAGAAATTGGGAAATCACGCATCACTGGAAAAGGATAATGACCAAAAAAAAAAAAAAAAATAAGCAATAGCAAATGACAATTATTTCCAATCGTTGGATGGGAAATCCATGGATAAGGCTGTGCCTTTCACTATAAAATTTTCTTCATCAGTCCGATTTTATATCGGACTAGCTTGGGGTGTTTGTCATCTTTATATAAACTGTAAAATTTTAATCAGAGCAAATTACGCTAATATCCGTTATAGTTTCCTTTATTATGGTTACACCAAATAGTTTCTGTTATTACATCCCTGTACGTTTTTTTCATCTCATAATAGAATGTTTTTTAGAAAGATTACTTTACCCTTTTTCGGGTGTTGAACAACCGAATTCAAAGGTTTTTTGGTTGCTCAACAACCGAAAAAGGGATTAGCTCGTTTAAACTTCCCGCTATGGTTTTATCGAAATATTTTGAATTCAGGTTTTCAACAACCGAAATTACAACTTTCGGTTGTTGAACAACCAAATTTACAATTTTCAGTTGTTCAACAAATGAAATTATGCAGGGCTCGTTTAAAATTCCTGGATTTGTTTCTTTTGCTTCATCGGTCTCATTCCCCCCATTTCTGACTGTCTCTTACCTTTCTGACAATCAAAACAACATATTTAGATTTGGATACAAGTATTTGGACGGATCATAACTGCATTTGATGCATTTTGAGGGCATTTGACGGATTTCTAATATGTAGTAAAGGTATGTATAATCTGATTTCTTGTTCGATTTTTAGAAGTTAACATTGTATATGATTATGCTTTAGGGTTTCATAGTTGAGTAGAAGCAGTCGATTTAGGGTCTATTTGATGGATTTTATAGATTCTTTAATGACAATTTGTTTGAGTTATAGTTGGGATTTTTAAAAAGTTCAATTATTTGGGGTTTGTAATAACTGTAAATTTGTGGTTATTTTTAGTTCTTGAATATTATACATGACTTATTGAGTTATGTTTATTTTTTATTTATTGTTTAAGAATTTTTAAATATGGGGCTACTGAGAACTACAAATTTGGAGGTTTTATTATAACTCAAAATAAAATAACCTGCAATTTGAAATCAATAGCTTAAGATAGCTAAATGTGTTGTTGAATGTTGCCTTTGTATTTGAAATCGTATAACTTATGCTATATTGGATTTGCAATTTGAAATGAGTAGTATATAACTGAAAATTTTGGGGTTTATATGTAGTTGAATGGGTTTGTGTTTTGTGACTGTATATAAATGAATCCATCTATAATTTGAAATCTGTAGCTTTATATCACACCCTATGTTATTGGATGTTGCATTTGTCTTTGAAAATGTGTGAGTTATGCTATGTTGGACTTGTAATTTGAAATGAGTAGCTTAATACAGATTGTTGGATGTTACTCTTGGTTGTTGAATGTTGTTGTCTGTATTTTGTTGTAATTAACATTTGGGTTATAATAAATGCAAAAAATAGTAGTTGTCTTAATTCTTCCCCTTTGAACCAATATCTTAGTTGTCTGAAACGGTGCCTCAGTTGCTAATTTCTTTGATTTCTCATAGTGGTACGGGCTTATAATGAATGGGTGTGGGTTGTGTAAGTTGAAATTTCTTATAGCATATATTTTGAATAGGTACATAGATGGTACATAGATGAATAGGTACATAGATGGTATAGAACACTGTTTTGGTTATCATATAAGAACACAATTTTTGCATTCATTACTTCATGCCCATTCCATTGTTAGTGATATATGATTTACTGATATATGGATTACATACGAGTTGCAAATGTGTTAGTAACTCCATTTATAGTTTGGCTTTCTATTTACCTTGAACATTTTGCAAATGCTTGTGGGTTTAGTAGGTAATAAATAACTTTATGCATACTATATGTAAATATGAGTCATATTTGATATGTAAATTTATTATCATATTCTTTTATTAGAGTAATATTCTATATGCAAATGCATGATGAGTTATTTTTGTCTCGATTTCAGTGAATTGAGTCGTGTCCATCCAGAGGGGGGATACCCAGGAGATCATCAGGACCCTAGTTTGCTATAGCTTCACCCAAAATATTCATATATTTCATATGGGAAGGACATGTATATGCATATATTCGTCTGCTCTTTCCATTAGTTTGTTATTTTTGAATAAATTGTAGTTTGTTTCAACATCATATGAGGATTACATGTGTATATTTATTGTGACTCATATGTTTTCTATTTGTTGTATTCCAGGAAAAACAGAAAATTAGAATCAATGAGAAGACTTTTCAATTGAATGATTGACATCTAACAAATGACCAAGTTCAATCAGTGAACGCGTCTGGGTTGGGTGCTCTATCTATCATCCAACTAGGTCGAATTGATCATCCTTAGGTTGCAACCAATGCAGAGAGGTGGCATTCCGAGACAAATTCATTCCATTAATACATTCAAATTGGTGAGATGATACGAACTTTATTTGATGTATATGAGCTTTTAGGACTGGCTGTAGATGATGAGCCTATTACATGTCGTCTTATTACTGACCTCCGGGAGTTCATAGAAAACAATTTGGGTATAGTCCTCACTGGAGCCAACCTGATAACCATGAAGTATTCATGGTTGAAGGAAAATTTTAGGCAATTGCCACCTGATGCAACCCCTGTGGAAGTACTCAAATATACTTGAGCCTATCTGCTCTTCCTTATCAGCGTTACTATTTTCGTTCATGCGTCAGTTGAAACAGTGCCAATGAGATACTTGCAATTCTTTGAAGATAATGACGAAGCTGGGAGATATACTTGGGGTGCTGCGGCCCTCGCATTTATTTATCGATCCCTTGGAAACTTGCACTTTCAAGCGAAGATATTTTAATGGTTCAGCCAATCTTATGCAGGTAAATTTAATTTTTGTGTAGACATAAGCATAATCGTTTAGATTACTTAGAAATAATATTTATTACTTATCATATCTTGATATAATGCATTGTTGGTCTTATGAGCATATTATGCATATGAGGCCCATACCGCATAGTATCTCTCCAAATATGCCTAGGGCAAAAAGATGGGAGCCACCAAAGAACTATTATAGCAATCCACATAACCTGATGCCTCCCATTAGACAAGAATTCGATAACCTCCTACCTAATGAGGTTAGTGTGTACTTTAACATTAATTACTTTCAATTGTATTAAAGTATTTATAGTTTTTATTGTTGATTGATTGTCGTATGTGTGATTACATATAATATAATAGGTAATATGGAATCCCTATTTCAACCCTGATGAAACCATTTCAGAAGATAGACATCAGGCATTCGAAACTGCAAAGTACATAACAAAGCTTATCTTTGACGATATTGCCGAGCTGTACATGTCATATCGTGTTTGTCGACAATTTGGAGCTAAACAGGGCATTCCAAGAAATCTCACTTCTGTTGGTAAGAGGTCTAGTAGACATATTGGGCAGCAAGATTAACGAAATGTCAATTCAGATAAAATTCATAATTAGTTGTTTCGCCATGATTACATGATAGCATACATTGAAATCGATACTGTCAATGGGTTGCCCTCAGAGGAGTACAAGGCCTGTTACAGCCGAGTGTCTCATCATATCATACATAATGTCTTTAATCCACCAAAAGACATATTACAACCTTAGGACCAAGAAGAAGAAGAG